AGATAGCTACTCCAGAATGCAGCGCAAATTACGAGCGGCTAGTATCTAATTAGTAAATAAAAGAAGCTCGCCCTAGGGTTAGTTTTTGTGTTCGGTTGTGTTTATTGTGGACAAAGGGGGACATAAATTTAAATGTTTTATTGAGTTCTCGAGAAACAACCTATTAACTTTTATGGTATAATAGTTGCTTCCATGGCCAGCCTCGTCTTCGCTAAAAGAAATGTAGATAATTATCTCAATTTACTTTTTTATTCAAGATTAGGGCTATCCGCCAGATTCCAAGTGTAATGCCGACATCTGTGGGTAATGATTTAATAAACTTGTTTTTATTTTATTTTATTTTCATGGTACATGATGAAACATAGAATTTCCTATGCATACTCAAATGTTAAAAACCATGAAATAATTATGATCGTTAAAAACTTTAACCACCTTATTAATAAACAAGGAAGAAGCTTAGACTAGTTACGTCGTGTTTTGCTCATATCACTCAAATGACATTTGTCATTCAATGAACAGAGACAAAACATGGAATAACTAATCCAAGCTTATTCTGTGTTTATTAATAAGACGGTTAAAGTTACGATGGACAGCGCCGCCAAACTTTTATTTAAAGCTATACCTTTACCTTTGTACCTAACTACCAAATAGTTACTAGTACATAGATTTAATTGTATTGATGACCTCCGTGGCCGAGTGGTGTATACGCCGGCTTCGAAACCCGGCAGAAGTTTCTGTGATGAATAAAATCATTTGTACTCCAGTCATGGATATTTAATATCGATTACTATGTATTCTTTCCGGTACCCTAGTATCCATTACATACATATCCATTTTATAATATACTTTTAAATAACATCTTAAATATAGTTCTTAATATATTTTTAAATATTCACACAATATTACTAAGATTTTATAGGTATTTCCTTTACTTAAATAAGTTTTTTTTATTTCCAGAGCGCGCCAGAATGTGGCGCGCAATTTTACTGGCGTGCAGCATTGCAGTTGTGAACAGTCAGGCGCGACCGAACCGAGTGGTTGATGTCGTCACCACATGCGACAAAGACGCGCTCACAGCAACCATTCACATGGAGCAGCCCTTCAAAGGCATCATATTTAGCAAGGACTTCTCGAGAGAATGTCGAGTTCAAGGTACACTTGCATTAGTTTATGCTTCGAAAAATCTGACAGTCTGTCGCATTAACATTGCAGGCAGGGGCGTATTAATCCTAGAAAGGTAGGTACAAAAAATGTATTTAATAATACCCTCACTGTGCGTCGCGCTGCTTGCGCAGGTGGGTGTAAACAGAAAAGTTCGATATTTGGGTGCCACAAGAGCTTACTGAATAAAAATTTAACAAACCGTTAACTCATATGAATTTTCTGCTAAAGCACAATGAAACTTTTGAAAGGGAGGATTATTTGTAATGAAAAGATAATCTACAACGCATAAGAACGTGCAAAAAGATCATAGTCAAAGGATTCACAGACATTGGCAAGAGGGGCACCCACATTTAAATTTTTCTACGGCTGCTAGATAATAGAGCAATATTGGTTTGTTTACTAAATCAGCATAACATCGCAATGTCACGGTATAATTTGACGAGATGGAGCACTTGCGAGTATGCAAGAGGTCACGGGTTTAACTTATGCTATTTATCATTGCAAACTAGTCATGAAATAGTTTCTCGAAGTTCTCGATGCTTCATTGAACATGTAAAACTCAAAATTAAGGTTAAAAAAAACCGGCCAAGTGCTTGTCGTGACACGCGCGGCGTAGGATTCCGTAGTTGCTCGTCATCACCACAATATATTTTGGAAGGAGTCTATATTTTAAGCAATTATTTTGACTAAATCGCTTTAAATGTTATCTTTTAAGGATTTTTTATTAGGTCAGAAATTTTCTAATACATAAGTTGAACGACTTATTCTTTAACTATTTTATACGTTATAACAAATCTATTTTATACGTTATAATTTTTAATATTTCGCAAACGGATCCCTTAATCTAAAAATATTCTTAAGATCCCCTAAGTAATTTTAAAGGACCTATTTAACGATACCTTTCATGATAGGGTAGACGCTGAAAAAAATGGTCTAGTACCCATTGGACCCTCCTAATTGGACCTTACCTACAAAAAAGTGCCCGTTGGACCTCCTATCAAGAACACGGTGCCCATTGGACCCTCAAAGCCGTACTTAACGACACAATGGGAGCTATTGCAGCTCTTAACTATTTGGCTAATTCTTTTGGAACGGTAAAGTACAGTCGTGTAGTAAAGTAACATTGTAAAAGACATAAAAACACAAAGGTTATAATCTAAGTAGTACATATTTATAAAATTCAAAACACTAATCATCAGTAACAAACCAATATAAATATTTACATAAAATATAATAATCAAATCACAGATTTTTTACTTTACTTTTAAAGCCAATAGAAATTATTTTTTATCAAATAGCTTAACTAAATTATAAATATGGTTTGTTATATCACACAGACTAAGCACAATTATTATATATTCTAAATATTGATAAAATAAATAAAAGCACAAAGGTTATAAATGTAAGTATTTTAAATCAACATATTTATAAAATTCGAAACATCAATTATCAGCAACAAACCATATAATATAATAATCAAATCATAGATTTTGTTATTTTACTTTTAAATAGAAATGTTTTTTATCAGATATCTTAACTAAATTATACATACAGTTTTTAAATCACTCAGATTAACTATTGAAGCATTATGTATTCTAAATATTCATAAAATAAAATACCAATGTAATATTTTCATATTACATTTTATAAAAAAATGTTTTCTAATCATATTTTTATAATTAACGAGAAATTGCTTATTATAAAAACATACTTTAACTAAAGGATATGGTTTAAAAGCGGTAGTCGGTTTCCGGCAGGAACGAAATATATATAGTTTGAAAGTTTGTATAACACGAATAGATACTTTGATTTTTTTATTCATTACCGATTAATTTAAAATCGTGTTTAATAATTAAACAATTCTGTAAGTATGCTGGCCACCCTATCTTAGTAACGTCATATTTTTAGTGCGTGGTGGCTTATAACGTCAACTCAATCACTATGGCAAATGTCAATCAGTCCAGTCATGGATTATTATCAGAATTATTATCACTGCTTTTGTTACACATTGAACATAATATATTTGATGCTTGGCAACAAAAAATAGACAAATAAACTTGCCATTTGCAAAACAATTATTAGATAGATTTATGTTATTTTAATATAAAAAACCGGGATAAAATAAAATTATAGTTTTTTGTCAAACGATCCACAATTAAGTGCGCTGCATCTCATAAAAACTTGGAGTCTGCCGAAAGACCCACTACCAACCTCCATCAAAAATTTAACAGTCTTCTTTTGTAAAACGTTATAAATTACCAAATTAAATATTTAAGACACATATGTGAGTAATTTTTCGAAGCAATGGCCTACGGTTGTAAGATTATTTTCTAGCTGCAACATAGGTCATAAATCGGAACGAGACGGCAATATTTCTCTCTCTCTCCCACATATGAGATCGGCGCCATCCTTTTGTTTAAGCGCAGAGATTGCTTGGGCTTGGCATCTATAACCTTCCTTTCATCAGGTGCTTGAGAGGAGTATAACTGCCGATAAAAACATTCAATCTCCCTCAGAATTTCAGTCTTAGATCAAAAGATGATGTCTTTGCAAAATCCACCATCATGTTGCTTAGGTTATCTAGATCCAAGACGTTTTAAGGAACTTTGAATCAATCGAACTGTGTTCGATTTGAAAGGTCTTGTGGATTTGGTGTTGCGCTGTAAGGGTATTTATTGGTCAGTGTACGATCGCCCTATTGAGTGAAACCTTTTTACATTAATGATCATTAATGTAATTAAATTTAAAATTAATATAATTAATCATTCCTTTAAACCTAAAGCACAAACATATATAATGTCTTTTAAAGAAAAAAAGGTTTTACAATATTTACGAAAATAAAAAGATATTGAAGTATTATCATTGTCACTTTCACCCTTATAAACCATAGAATAAAAATACATGTCAGTAGTGCAATATTTGGATTTGGCTCCTTGTCAATACGAATAAAATAAAAATTATACAAATTAAATTTTGATTACTTTTGATTCACTTTTTATTTTTTAAATATCTCTCTTATATATATCTCTAAATATATATCTTATTGTACGAGTACCTTACTAAAAAATCCAAATGTGTTAAAAATTAGCTTTTCTTAAAGCTTACTATCATCTGTCTGCGTCCAGTATTTATAGAGCAATAGACAAAAAAAAGTTATTTTTATTTTTCCTGAAAACTTACATTTTTGTACTTATAGAATTATCTTTTTATTCTCCGGGGACGGCGAAATATCGTTAATTCGAAGAAAAAAGGTAACCAGATTTCTTTATAATTTGTTTAGGACTACTTTCTGTTTGGAGTCAGTATTTATTCAGTATTTAGTTAGTGGCTTTATAATACCTACTATTAATTTTATTTTTGTCTACAATTTTCTACATGACTGTACTGTGCTTAACAAAACTGTTAATAAGGTCCAACTGGCAGTAGGGTATAATCTTGAAGGTCCAATGGGCACTTAATAAGAGGTCCAATGGGCACATTGAAGATAATTTTTTTAAGGAGGTGAATGGGCACCAAAAAAGAGGTCCAATGGGCACATTGAATATAAAATGTTTTAAGAAGGTCCAATGGACACCAAAAAAGGGGTCCAATGGGCACTTTTTGCGTTTGGGTCGAATCTTGAGGGTCCAATGGGTACTAGACTAGTGCTTACAGTCTCCAAGCAAAACCGGGGACGGACATGACGAAACTATAAGGGTTCCTTGTCAGGACTACGGAACACAAAAGAATATTGGTACATGTGGCCTTCAAACGTGTTCGTAGGAAGTTAGATCAGTGCTCTAATTAGTCTTATTTTATAGAAAGTAAAATGAAAAATCAGTAAGCGGTGCTTTAAAATGTTTTTAGGTGACCTGAAAGAGAAGGTGTCACTGCACCTGCCTTCGAACGCGTGCGGTGTAAGGACTTCCCCGCTCAACGAGACGGCTGCCGAGCCCGATGATGACGAGGACCTGTTCTACAGCGTCGACCTCGTGGTGCAAATGGACAGCAAGCTCCAGCAGTCCTCTGACCAGGAACTACTTATTAGGTAAACATTATTTCATCAAGATAATATATCCAGGTGAAGCAAGAGTCTGACCAAGTCCCCTTGGTAGACCCAAGTGAACCAAGGGTCAGAACAAGTCTCCTCACTCCACCCAACTAAACCTGTTAGGTGGACCGTTGGTAAGAAACGCCTTTTTTCTTTTATACAAAGTCCTGGTCCTGGCACATGAATTTAACGTTCAATGGGCGTGGTTAACAAATAACTTAAGCAATGTCTGCGTTTACATGGTGACTAAATATTTTTGTACCGAGCTCCTTCGTGCTCGGAAGGTATTAAATACGCACTAAGTGCAGCGTGGTGAGTCCCTCTATCCATGTTTCATCCATAGGGAAGGTTTGTGCACCCGCAGTGGGAAAATGAATAGAAATTATGCAGAAAATGTACTCCTGGTGTTGCAGTGCTGGTGCCTATGGGCGACGGTGATCACTGACAATCAGGTGAGACGTATGCCCCTTAGAATAAAAAAAAATAACCTTTTATAAATATAGAAGGTCATCAGGTTGTTTAACAATCCCTACGAGTTAGTGTAGTCATGATCATGTATTTGATATCAATTAGGTAGAAAGTAAATGGTACAGAATATTTCCTGTAAAATGGTATGCGAGGTCATAGAGGACTACCTACCTTAACTATATATTGAACCCCTATGTATATTTAATAAAGATATTTGATAGATGGATAATATTTTGACTTAATATTTCAGATGCCGCCTCCAGCCTCGTGCCGTCCGCATAGTCAGTCCCGCATTAGAAGGTATCATACAAACGAAGATTCGTGAGCTGGTTGGTCAAGAAACGAGGAAGATACGGTATGTTAGGTTGTTACTACAGAGAAAAACCCGAATGAAACACAGAAATTTGGCTCTATAAAAGAATTTGTTTCATAAAGATAAGGTACCGTGAAAACGTAAGTGAGTTTCTTTCGCATTTATGATAACAAATGAATGGATAAAGAAGTCAAGAAAACGTCCGCCGTGGAGTTGTCACGGACTTAACACACACGATGCGCAAACATTGATCCCCCGAAATTTTTAAAAGGCGCATGGTATGAAAGATATTACCTATTCTCAGATTACGTTCGCTGTATGCGTTGCTGCGCCCAGTCACGATGAGTCCTATTTTTTCGGGGATGCCCGCGTACTTTTTTCCTGTCCAGTTTCTCGGTTTCGTGTTGTAGAGGGACTTTCTGTACTTTTAATTCCTCGTGTGCGCTACTCGTTGCAGTTGTAAGCGATCTTTTTTGGCGGACAAGAAACTCTGCGGACAATTCTCCCTCGTCTGCGCAGGCAAGCCATTAAAGTTAGTGATGATATATGATTTTTGTCACATAGGACGGGTCGCAACCGGCAAGGGTTCGAGAGCGCCGCTATGGCAGAGCAACGTACGCAGCTGTTAGAAGCAGCGCGCGCGTGGATGGAGTTATCGCCTGCTGCCACCGCACCAGACCCGGCCACTGTGGAGGTGGGGCAGCCCACCAGGCTGCTGATACAGTGCACACTGCCTGGTGAGCATACTGTCTGCAGCACTCATACCGCACCAGTCCCGGCCACTGTGGAGGTGGGGCAGCCCACCAGGCTGCTGATACAGTGCACACTGCCTGGTGAGCATACTGTCTGCAGCACTCATACCGCACCAGTCCCGGCCACTGTGGAGGTGGGGCAGCCCACCAGGCTGCTGATACAGTGCACACTGCCTGGTGAGCATACTGTCTGCAGCACTCATACCGCACCAGTCCCGGCCACTGTGGAGGTGGGGCAGCCCACCAGGCTGCTGATACAGTGCACCCTGCCTGGTGAGCTTACTGTCTGCAGCACTCACACCGCACCAGTCCCGGCCACTGTGGAGGTGGGGCAGCCCACCAGGCTGCTGATACAGTGCACACTGTCTGGTGAGCATACTGTCTGCAGCACTCATACCGCACCAGTCCCGGCCACTGTGGAGGTGGGGCAGCCCACCAGGCTGCTGATACAGTGCACCCTGCCTGGTGAGCATACTGTTTGCAGCACTCACACCGCACCAGACCCGGCCACTGTAGAGGTGGGGCAGCCCACCAGGCTGCTGATACAGTGCACCCTGCCTGTTGAGCATACTGTCTGCAGCACTCACACCGCACCAGACCCGGCCACAGTGGAGGTGGGGCAGCCCACCAGGCTGCTGATACAGTGCACCCTGCCTGGTGAGCATACTGTCTGTAAAACTCACACCGCATCAGACCCAGCCACTGTGGCGGTGGGGCAGCCCACCAGGCTGCTGATACAGTGCACCCTGCCTGGTGAGCATACTGTCTGCAGCACTCACACCGCACCAGACCCAGCCACAGTGGAGGTGGGGCAGCCCACCAGGCTGCTGATACAGTGCACCCTGCCTGGTGAGCATACTGTCTGTAAAACTCACACCGCACCAGACCCGGCCACTGTGGCGGTGGGGCAGCCCACTAGGCTGCTGATGCAGTGCACCATGCATAGTGGGACGCCTAAAGGCCAGACTCTACCACTGCGTAAAATCCCGGGAACATTACTATTTTTACAGATCATTTTTATACAAAAGAGAACTTGATGTTAAATGTGGAGTCCATGAAGTTAGTTGGCGTGGTAGATTTACGTGCTGTACTACGCACCTTCATTTTACTGGTCAAAGGACATTGGGCAAAGATGTATGGACGCTGCACCCACGTCCGCCGCGGCTTAAACTACATTTGTTTGAAATGTATTATAGTCAAGATCATCTGTGCCAAAGCGCATGAAATTCCATCCCGGGGATCTTTAGTTATTTTAAGTTAAATATGTACAAGTACTATAACGAACGAACATTAATGAAACAAGGGAATTTAATTTACTTAATTAGTTCGACCCTACATAGGGTGCTCAGGAATTATGGGAGTACTTCACTAGGTGCAAGGGTATACCCTTATGTTATTCTGCCGCGCTAGAGTAAATCCAAAAATTCCCGCATGGGTTGGGGTTTTTCCAAACATTCTGTTCGATAAAGTAAATTGTCTTCTATGTAAAACAAAGCAACCACAAATCACAAAAACTTGTCCTCACTTCGGAGAAAACATGATTCCAGTTCATCCATACTAATTGACAAAACCGATCATTGTGTTACAATGTCCAAAGCGTGTTAGATAAAAATCAATCAAGTGACGGGAGCGCGCAATAACAACGAAGTAAGGCGAGTCGACTATTTGCAACTGCAAGTCCTTCAACCCCCGTAAATCGTTTTGAGGTGTCTCAGTAAGAGCAAACGCAGGATGGTCGGCAGGCTTTGTCGTATATCTGGTTGTATAGTACAATATGGCATATTATTATGATTACTAATAATATAAAGTGGAGGTAGTATAAAATGAATTTATTCAGCTACTTAAATATGCCCATGTGTCATATCTTTTGACTACCAGGATATTTTTTACGGTGTCATATCTTTTGACTCCCTGGATATTTATTTTCGGTGTCATAATAAAAAAGGCTAGTTTTTCATAGATCTATCGATTCATACTAATTACATTGTTGGCGGAGCTGGGTGCGTTTTGCCCATTGTCCTTTACATTATTAGTATGGGAGAAATCCCATAGTATTAATGTAGGCTTAACTAGGAAACTATTCCAACGCCTTTTTATTGAGTACTATCATTTATATATTTCAGACATAGCCAATCTAATATAAAGCATGAACCTATCATTATTCTTCTGGTATATCAAGATAATTATAACCCAGTGGATCTTTAAAACAGGCATTTATTTTGTTAACAGTTGGAGTCGGCCTTCGAGTAACGAACTGCGTTGCCCACGACGGACTCGGCGAGGCATCACAAAGACTTCTAGACGAAGCTGGCTGTCCCGTAGACGAGACCATATTCAGCAAACCCACAATTCACAGACACAAGCACAAGAGTACTGAGATCGACTTCTCGGAACTAGAACCAGCTGACACTCTACGCAACATCGAGGAGAGCAGCAACATAAAGCTACTGAAGACAGATCCCGATTATATGATGAAGAACATAATGACGTACCAGCATGCGATCACGACATTCGCCGCATTCAAATTTCCTGACCGCTCAAAGTTGCATTTGACTTGTGGCATCGAACTCTGTAAAGGTCACTGTCCGCCGATAGACTGCAAAATGTTGCAGAAACCGCAGCAGACAAAAGACGGTCTAGTGAGGAAAGCACGCCTTGACAAAGACGCGAAAGGTTTAGTTATAGATCGATTAGAAGTTTATAACAGCATAGAGGTTTTGGCACCTAACATCGAGTTAGAAGACGAAGCTTCGATCAGAGGTAAGTTGAAGAAAATAAAAGCTTGGAATGAAGTTAAAAATAAACATAAGTAGGCACACAACTACACACAAAACACAACGAAACAACTGACGGTTGTGACTGAAAAATTTTACACATTTTTTTTCGCCTGGCCCCCAATTCGCCAAGACCTTCGTTCCAAAAATATTAAAAAAATACTAAACTGAAACATTTCTTCACAGGTTCTCGTAGACCAGACACGAAGGAAGATCAATTCGTGAGAGGTTTCTCCCCAGGAGACAAGACCATCTGCCTCTCACCGGGGAAAATGGCTTTAGCGTTCTGCGTCCTAGGTGTCATATTCCTGTGCGCTATAGCCGTAGCCTTTATTTCCTTAGTGAGAGCGAGAAGGCGATTAGGCAGAGAACCGTTGCATACATCTCTATCGTTCTACACCGGAAGTAAAAGCATGTTCTCTTCCAGCGAAAGTTCTAGTTCTGGCTTGAGTGGCAGCAAATTGTTGCTTACGGACAGTCCTTATTTAGATCACCATTCGTCTTCCAGTAATAATTGGCCCTACTCACGAGCCTTTTAGTAGTTAAGCCATTAAAGAATGTTTCACTACCAGGGCCGGATTTAAAGCAGGGCTGTGGCTCAGGGGCAACCACAAGATAACAAATTTGGCATCTTGTGGTTTTGACCCGCAACACAGAAAAAAAAAACAAATTTGGAAGGTCACCAACTTTAGCGCCTTTGTACCTTTTTGGCATTTTGACCGTTACCTGCAGGGTGGTGCAAATCTTAAGTGAGATAGGGTAGGGACCTCCACTCCTTCGTTGCCCCACACCTCTAAACCTGGCCCTGTTCACTACAATCAAAACAAAAAAATAAATTGACAACATAGAGATACTCATAAGACTGTACTGTACTTCAAAGCGTGCTTATTTCCAAAGCTTTTGTACTCTAGATTTGTGTGTGTGTTGTTAATACAATTGTACTTATTTATTTAGGTTAAAATCGATTTTTATACAATTTGAGGTGGTGCTTCTGATGACATTTGATGGAAAAACCAGCCGAAGAGCTAAGTATGGGATAAGGAAAGGGTGATAGATACCTAGGTTTTATAAGGTTAGAGAATTAGCGTACCTATTTAATAATACGATTTACGTCGTAGTTTTAAGTTAAGTGTTATTTATTGAAATTGAGTCTGCTAGATAAATATGAAGTAAATAAGATTAACTGTTTTAATGGTTTTCATACTATGTAATCCCTTTGCAAGGCGATCTAGCACGCTGCGAAGGTGCTACCATTTGCATTTTGTATAATTATAAATATTTACTAATATTATAAATGCAAAACTTTATATGGATGTTTGTAAGTCTTTCACGCTAAATGGCTCAACGGATTTGCACGAAATTTGGCATATGAATAGATTAACGTCCAGATTGACACATAGGATACTTTTTATCCCAGAACAATGTTAAGTGTCTGTGGGATTCTCAAAATACTAACTTAAACGCGGATGAAGTCGCAGGCGTAAGATAAAAAAAATGGGTGACTAACGTTTTTAACCACAGAACTCAGAAAGAGGTTTATATATTACGGAATACACCCATGATTTGTTCTGTGGTTTTAACGACGTTATACCTACTTTTAAATTAAAATAATTTAAGTATTCAATATGTTATAAATGGGAAGGTATTGACACATTTCATTAGCACTACCTCGACAAACAGAATAAGAGTAACATTAGATTTAATTTTATTAGAAAATAAAAGTAATTATACAATTAATGTATCATTCGATGTTTTATTATTAATATCTTTATATAATAAAATTATAATTTGTGATATGATCAGAACTATTACTTCTGGTATGTACTTTATGTTCATAATACAAGAATGTAAAATTTTAATAAAAATAAAATTTAAAACAAATGGTGTCTTTATTATTAAAGTAACTTTTATCATTAAAAAAGAATAAATTCATCGCTACGACATACGACGTATTTTTTTTTATCCATGCAGTTGTTCATTAATACAAAGCAACACGGCCGACGCGCCAAAGTCTCTTTGGCTATCTATTACTCCTGTTCTCCATAAAACATAAGCCTTACAGTAGATATCTTCTTACTTTGGGGCAAGGATAATATTGGTCTTAACTTTAAAAAAGATCAGACTTGCAACGCGGCCAGGCATACGAATGAATTATGAGCATGGCGGATATTCCGCTGAAACTAAAGCATCCGTCTAGGGAAGTCTTCCACCTTGCAGTACCCTTAGCACGAATCATTATCGAAATCAAATAGTTCTTCTTCTTTTTTTTAGAAAACGACGGTGCACTTTTGTGGATTTCGCCAGACTCGAGTGATTAAGCTTGGTTGTTCAGTAGGAACAGACTTTGCTTTTTTTTTTAAGTATGTTTTGAAAGCACAATATGTGAAAGGAGTAAACAATGTTCTTGATTTTTTGTAGTTGGATATCTGTTGTCTTATCTGAAAGGTAGAGACAAACACAAAAAAAAAAGTTAGTAATTTTAATTGGTTAGTCTAGAGACAAACAATTACAAGCGTATATTATTTTTGGATATATATTCACAAAGTAGGATAATAAAGGGGTAGGCATGCGTCCGATATATCAAAACGAATCCAAAATCCGATTTCAAACACAAATCGATACCGAACGATTTCTCAACAAGAAAATCCGATTTCAGAAATCTAACCGAACTTTTTAGTTCGGTTAGATTTCTGAAATCGGATTTTAGCTAGCTAGCGATCTAATACCACAAGTATCCAAATGTAAATCGGATTCGAAATTCGTGCTTTCGTTTTCGGAAGTCAAATTTCGTGCTCGAAAGTCCGATTTCGATTTGCTGTTTACGGAAATCTATTGCTCTTCTCTGAGGCGGGATTATTTATCACTGAAAAGATATGTCGTCTAAAAACATCAAAAGTCGAGCAACTCACATTTTTGGACGTTAACCTGAAGTAATTAGGTTTGATTTTGTAAATGGTTTGAAAAATAATAAAAACAAACAGAAAAACAAAAAAAAATACTAAAAAAATATGTAAAAAGAAATCATTGTATAAAAGCCGATTTTTAAATGCGCCGCAAAAGTTTTACTCTTAACCGTAAACATAACTTTTCTGCTAGTCCTAAGCCTAGATTTAAAGCATGAAGGAAAATCGCGAAAATCTACGAGTATCCATCCTTGCTTCCTACAATTAATTGTTTGTGATTGTCGTTAGCTAATAAAACCAAATCATAACACAAACTAGTGAATTGGCTAAGTTCGGCACATCTGAAATCGGATATCTAAAAACGGATTTTAAAATCGATTTTGAAATCTGAAATCCGATAAATATCCGTTGGCATTTAAACCAAAAACGCCCATGTCTATAAAGGGGGAGTTAACATAAGTTAGGAGTGTTTTAAAATTCATAGGTTTGGGAATATATGGTGGAAGGATGTCATACAGTGAAACCGGGTATTTTGGGCAACTAAAGAAAATATGTTCGGTTGTTCCTTCATCCAGCCCGCATTCACATAGTGAGCCGTCTTTGACCCTAATTTTGGCAAGGAAGACGGGGGTGTTTACGTGGCCTATTCTTAGTCTACAAATGGTCGAAGTACACGACTTTGAGGCATTCTTAAACTTGGAAAACCAAGGTTTACTTGGGATGATATCTTGGATATCCGCATAATGTTTTCCGGCCGTCTTGCTGGATAGCTTCCATTGAGAGCTCCAGGAGGTTCCCATACGAAGACTAGCTAGGGAGGTCAAATCATGGGAGAAAACCTGGTTGTAACTGGGGCTTCCCCTAGTATACCCGCATGACCAGGGATCCACGCTAATGCGACTCTTATTCCTTGTCTGTGACATCTGTATAAAGCATTTCTAATTTTAATAATACAGGGGTTTGTTTTGTTCCGGAACGGGTTGGACATATTTGCCTGAAGACAACTTTTAGAATCTGAAAAGATAACACTTTTATCGAGTTTATGTGATTCAATATACATTATTGCCTCGAGGATGGCTATTGCTTCTGCGGTGAAGATTGAAATGTGGGGAGGACATTTAAAGTTAAGTATAATTTTGAATTTGGGAATCCAAACTGCTGAGCCTACAGCATCTTTGTCGGAAAGTTTTGAGGCGTCTTTGTACACCTCCAGCCACTCTACCCAATTCTTTCTAATTAGAGCTTGTAAAACATAGTCTGCGTTAGGAGTGTCCTTAGAGATGCCCAAAACTAAGGAAATGTTGGGTTGAAAGACTAGAGATGGGAACAAGTTGTCATAGAGAGGATTTAAAACACACTGGTATATGGGGAACGGTAGACGAATGAAAGAGAGAAAGCTATTAAATAAACAGGGTGGGGATTTATGTTTCCAGAATTTATTGGACGATATAAATTCAGAAAGTTCATGTAGTTTCCCTATTAAAGGGTGATCTCTGTTCTGGATAATTTTATAAAAGAATTTATCTGCTAAATATTGTCTCCTGATAGACAGTGGAGGGTCCGTGCATTCCACCTGTAGGGCGTTGATAGCTGAAGACTTTTTAGCTCCCAGAATTATACGAAGACACTTAGACTGTAACTTATCTAGGGATTTTAGAGACGATTTTAAGCAGGGTTCAAGTAAGAAAGAAGCATAGTCCAAGTGGCTTCAAACTAGGGCGTTATAAAGTAACTTCTGACAGAAGGGATGGGCTCCCCACCAGGTTCCAGACAGGGATCGAAGAATATTTATATTTTTTTCGCACTTTTTAACTACATGGGCGATGTGATGAAATCCGGTCATTTTCGAATCAAGAACCACTCCAAGAAACTTGGCCTGGTTTTTTAATGGAATGGTTTGACCATCAAACTTGATATTGGTATTTGGAGTATTTCTAGAGCGAGTAAAAATTACAATATTACTCTTCATAACTGAAAGAGAAAGGCCATGGTCAGATAACCAATTATCTAAATATGACAAAGCCATATTGAGGTGGGACTTGGAAGCTTCATAATTAGAATCTAAGCCATATAGACATATGTCATCTGCATATTGCAAGACGTTACAGAATGAGTTGAGAGAAAGTTCTAGATCGTATGTATATAGATTAAAGAAGAGGGCTTAGGACAAACCCCTGGGGTAGACCTTTCCAGACTGTTCTTGGTGGAAGAAGAGAATTATTTAAGCAAACTTGTATCGAGCGTGCAGACAGGAGACTGAATATTATGTTTATAAGCCTCACGGGGATACTCAGCTTGAGCAGTTTTTGCCTGGGTAGCGGAAGCAAAACATTGTCATATGCAGATGACGTTTTTAGATAGGCCGATCCAGATATCAGATAGAAAAATTCTAAGGCTGTCCATGGTACTCATACCCTTTCTAAAACCAAATTGGCTTTTAGCTAGAAGACCTCTACTTTCCACAATCCAATCAAGTCGGTTTTTAACTAAGTGCTCTAAAATTTTGGACATAGTGCAAGAAAGAGCAATGGACCTATATCCGTTCGGATCATTGCTGAGCTTTCCAGGTTTTAGAATGGGAATGATGATTTGGGTTTTCCACTCTTCCGGGGGCACACCTGAGAGAAAAATGCAATTAAGGATATTCAAAAATAGGTCCTTGGATGTTAAAGAACTGTTGATAATAAGGGAATATGGAATACCATCAACGCCTGGAGAGGAGTCCCTCA